TTGATTGAATATGGACATTGGTGGATATAGTGGATCATTCACACATTCGACCGTGTGCCTATTGGGCCTATTCCTAGAACACGACACGTTACTCTCAAAATAATAAGAACAAAAATGTGCAGTTTTCTTTGCAAGATAGGCTTCGCATATAGATCCTTCAATCCTATTCCTCTGCTTAACAAATTATTTGCATTTGCCAATTGTCCTACATAATGTCGTGTTAGCCAAGAACATTCAAATAAAATAGAATATTACATCAAACTTATAATATTACCTCTCAAAGGGATACATCCATCTGCATTGAACATGCCTTCCAAGTCGTGCCTCGTATACAAGGTGGATTGGAAGGTGTTCCATCACATCAAATAAACCACATGAAAATATTTTTTCCATCTTACTAGAAGATACACGGATGTTCTGATCCATCCGAAGTAGGTTTTCTTCCCTTAATGTGGTAGGACACAAGTCTTTGAAAAACAAACTAATCTCTGTGATGGGTTTTCGGATTCTTTCAGGCAAACCACAAAATGCAATAGGCACTAAGGTCTCCATGAAAACATAACAGTCATGACTTTTCAAATGGCTCAACTTCCCTACATCCATATCTACTTTTTTCCCAAGATTCGACGCATAACCCTCAGGCATTTTCAATTTCATAACCCAATCACAAATTTGTCGTCTTTCCTCCAAAGTGAATGTGTAACTTGCTTTGGGCTTGAACACCTTACCATTGTTTGCTGTCTGCAAGTATAATTCAGGCCTCCTGCAATATTCTTGTAAGTCCATTCTAGCCTTCGGGTTATCTTTTGTCTTACCTTTAACATCCATCACTGTGTTGAAAAAATTGTCAAAATAATTCCTCTCAATATGCATGACATCAAGGTTGTGTCAGAGAAGATTATCCTTCCAATAAGGCAACTCCCAAAATATACTCTGTTTCGTCCAATTATGAGTAACACCATATCTGGGTAATCTATAAGGTGGAGCCTCAGTAACTTTACTGAAGTTCTGGACCGTATCCCAAATTTCCTCACCTGAAAGTATTGGAGGTGGAGAATCATATTCCACTTTAATCTTTTTGAATGCATTTTTCATCCTTCTAAACTCATGATCATTAGACAAGAATTGACGGTGACAATCAAACCATGATTGCTTTCAGCCATGTTTCAAAGTGAACGCTTTACCATTTTCCATGCAGTAAGGACAAGCTAGCTTCCCATCAGTCATCTACCCAGATAACATTCCATACGCAGGAAAATCGTTAATAGTCCACATTAAATTAGCACGCAAATTGAAATTCAGCTTGGTTGATATGTCATATGTTTCAACACCATCATACCACAACTGTTTTATGTCAGGACCCGAAATTCTCACCTTCAAACCGTGATGGCGCCTAACATTTCACTTGCAAGGCAAGCCAACGTTAGAATAACATTATCCATTTTTAAAACAATTTTTAATTTATTAATAACAAAGAACAAGTGCGGAAGTGAAGTCTAAATGAAGTGAATAATCCTTNTTTTAATAAGTCCGTTGCGGCGTGCAACCCGATCCTCCAATATGGACTTTTAATAAGTCTGTTATGGTGTGCAACCCGCTNGTGCAACCCGATCCTCCAATATGGACTTTTTAATAAGTCTGTTGCGGCGTGCAACCCGATCCTCCAATATATTCATTTCGATCAATTCTGTTGCGGCGTGCAACCCGCTCCTCCAATATATATATACATTTACCAATTCAATGCTGTTGCGGCGTGCAACCCGCTCCTCCAATATATTCATTTACTAATTCTTATAGAAGAATTTCCCCAATAAATGCAACAATTAATATAAAATTATAAGTCAACAAGCATATAATGATTATGATTTAATTATGAAACAAACAATGACAAATAACAAGTTATTATGGAAAGCAGAAAGAAAATAGGTAGTTTAATATTTAATATGCTAAATGTCAAATAACAATTAAGACACATAATTCAAATAGCATGTAACAATTAATGCAGGAATTCAAGAATTAATATTTGACAAAGAATAGGAGAGAAACAATTATTATAATAATTAATTTATGATTTAAAATAATTTATGATTTTTTAAGTAATTAGGAAAACAATTAATTTGATGATGTATAGACACTCGTCACCTCGCCTATACGTCGTTCACATGCATTTTCATAATAAATAATTTAAGGGTTCCATTCCCTCAAGTCAAGGTTAACCACGACACTTACCTCGCTTTGCAATTTCCAATCAATTACTCGACCACAACTTTTCCTTTTAAATTTGTCTCCAAAAGCTTCAAATCTATTCACAAACAATTCGATATACTCAATATGAATCATAGGAATTAATTCCATATGAATTTACTAATTTTTCGGATAAAAATCCGAAATTCATTTAAATATTCGATAGTGGGACCTACGTATCAAATTCCGGAAAAACTCACAAAATCCGAACACCCTTTCTGCTACGAGTTCAACCTTACAAAAATTATCCAATTCCGATATTAGATGGACCTTCAAATCTTAACTTTTTATTTTTGGAAGATTTTATAAAAATCTGATTTTTCTTCCCTAAATTCACGGATTCATGATGTAAATGAGTATGGAGTCATGAAATATAATCAATATAGGATAAGAAATACTTATCCCAAGAATCATACTCTTAATCACCCATCATTACCCAAACTCGAAATTGAAGATTAGGGGTTAGAACCTTACCTCTTTGATGAAGAACTTGAGGAATTTCTTGTTGGTTTTCAAGGCTTGGACAAGAATTTTATGAACAAGACACTTTATCTACTTCCTCTCTCTAGAACACTCTCACTTCTCTCTAAAATCATCCGATAAATGCCCCAAAATAAATCCCAAAGTCTATTTATCAAAATGGGGTCGGATTATGAAAATAGGAAAATTACCCCTCCGAAAATAGGTATGCGGTTGCACAATGGACCGCACAATTGGTGTGCGGGTCGCAAAATGATCGCACAAATCGGTGCCCAGAACTGGGCTGTTCTGGACCATTTTGCGTCCACTTTGCGGTCGCATAACCATTTTGCGATTGCATAATGGTCGTAGAATCGCATTCTGTTAGCCTTTGGTAATTTGGTCATAACATCTTGTAGGAATGTCCAAATGATGAACGGTTTGAAGCGTTAGAAACTAGACTCAATGTAATTTGATAGCTAATACACCATATAACTCTTCATATCAAGAGAGGTATGCTCGTTTGAAGTTAGGTCTTATGCGAACTCACTTGAAACCTTAGTCTATTATGAAATTTCCAGATTCTACATTCGATGCCGAAATCTATCGGATCAAGTCCGATTGACCTCAAATTTTGCACACAAGTCATAAATAACATAACAGAGCTATGAAAATTTTCGGAAGTGGATTCCGACTCCGATATCAAAAAGTCAACCGTGTGGTCAAACTTGGAAATCTTTAGCCTTTAAATTACTAATTTCCGTTACATGGTCATAACTTGAGCTAGGGATCTCCAAATTAAATTACGGGCATACGTCCAAGTCCCAAATCACTATATGGAACTACCAAAACTGTCAAAACACTGATCCAGGTTCGTTGCTCAAAATGTTGACCAAAGTCAACTCAGTTGAATTTTAAGGCTCTAGTTCACATTTTAATCCATTTTTCACATAAAAATATTCTGGAAAATTTTATGGACTTCGCATGCAAGTCGAGGAGTGACAAATAGTGCTTTTTGAGGT